ATGATAATAATAATAATAATAATAATAATAATAATAATAATAATAATAAAATAATAATAATAACGTACTTTTATAGTGCACTTCAAATATCTCAATGTGCTTTACATTCATAAGTGGAGGACTTTACAGGCTGTGTATTAAGGTGCCATACCAGCTGTGCAGCTTACAATCATGAGTGTAAACTGTTAGTAGACTAGTATTATGCCTCCAAATTGGGATAGGCTGTTGAGCCAGGAGACAATCCCCCACTCTTACACCAATAATTCAACAGGTTCTTTTATGTCCCCCATGAACATGACTAAAGAGATGCAAGGGCTAATTAAGGTTTCTGTCAAGTTTAAATAAAATTTCAGGAAAGAACAAAATTATTTTAAGTTAACACTTTTTAACAATATACGATACAAAGTCTGATAAATTTTTTATATGGCTGCAATTTTTTAAACTCCAAGGTCTTTCAATCAAAGCAAAAAGACAGCAAGTCAGAAATTCGAACATAGTAGCACTATAATTTCCCATCCCTCTCCCAACAAGAACTCAAGCATCTCTCCTCACCATAGTTAATAGAGGGGAAATCATAATTCCCCTCTATTAACTATGTCCTCACATATCTCCCTCTCACTCCTGCTGAGAATATTTAGCAGGAAAAAGAACACAAGCTAGTCACAAAATRAAATGCTTATTACTGGGTTGCCTGTACCAATGCACGCTCCAAGAGCCTCTTGTTCTTTAAATTGTTTTGCATGTTTTTTAAATTGTTGAACTAGTTGCCCTTTGAATTGAAATGAAAAACAATCGCACTGAGCATGACCAGAACATTTCCCTAGCACCCACCATGCAGAGTCTGGTAATTAAGCAACAACTGTTGAAAATTCTCCCAAACCCCCTCCCCCCACCGGGTGGCTATCAGGCTATTTAAACACAGAGAATAAGTTTTCTATTGCTTGTATAAAATAAATACTAAGGGAAAACATTCTCACTTGCAATAAAATCTTTATTTGAATTTGATTCCCATATCAAAATACATGTTCTCCATAAATCACGAACTACGATGGTTAGCCAATCAAATTTCCTGTAATAAACTCCAAAGTAGGCAAATGTGAAGCGAGAAAGAATCGCTTGCTGACATTTATCAGGGGGCAGACGGGGGGCTGAACCCCCCCCCCAGGTTTTTCAAAAAATTATTCTAAAACAATGAAATAAATACAAAGAAATGTTCAAAGATTGAATAGAAATCTTAAGAAAAGATTTCAATATTGATTATCTACGAAAGTGATCAAAAGTAGATAACTGAGTGTCGCTGTGACTGGAATTCTCGGTTGAAAGAAACGTGGACTTGCTCAAGGGTAGCATGGGTGGCGTTTGCGGCTAACGCGTCGTCTTTCACCGCTGTGAGTCCAACGGGTCGGGTTGCTGGTTCGAGCCCTGCGGTCGCTACATGTGAATTGAGTTTGTTTGATGTGTTGTTCTCTCCTATGCTACGAGGGTTTTCTCCGGGTTCTCCGGTTTCTTCCCTCCGTAAAAATCAACATGTGAGTTGAGCGTTGTGTGCATAGAATATTAAATGTAGTGGTAGTGCGTGTGGGCGAAAAGTGTCCCCAATTAGTGCGAAAGCGCTAGAACGACTAGACACTTAAATAAAGTGATTTATTATTTATTTATTTATTATTTCAATTTGACAGCCAGAAAACATGGCAGCGAAGTTGATTGTTTCATCTTGCCTCGAGAAAATATTTTGTGGAGCTGAGGAGCTATCGCTGGAAGAAGCTTTGAAGCCGCTGACTGTTTCCTTGAAAAAACGTGTATTTCCTTATCGGCGGTGCATTTAAAGCATATCATAAAATAACTGTTTTGCGTTCTGATTGGTTTGGAGCGCGTGCTTTATGAGAGCACATTGCACGCGCGCGCACTTTCCGTTGCAGTCATTCCTATCTAAAATAACGGTTATTGTAATTTGTATTTTATAAAACAAATAAAAAACTTGCTTGCTATGCTGTGTGCCGTTATAAAGCACTTGGGGGTTGGCAGAACACACGAGAAGTGTCCAGAAGCACTCCGCTACGCGTCGTTCTTCTCCTAACACTTCTCTCGTGTTCTGCCAACCCCTGCGTGCTTTATGACTGCACACAGCACGCGCGCGCGTTTTCTATTTCTTAAGAAAAGCACGTCGCTGCACAACCGAAGCTGTCCTGACGAAGAACGTTTGTTGTAGTTCCTGAGGGAATTCTTGTTGCGGTGACCAGAGATTGTCATGATATGACCTGCTGAAGACCATAGGATTATGCCTGTGGCCCTGACACAAGTCAAAATTTGGACCTTCGTCTTCAAAATAAATTTATCTGCGGAATTTTTTTCCTCGAAAGAAATTCTTCGATGGTGGTGGCATTTATTTAACAAAAGATTTCTCATTAGCACCCATTTTGAACGGCACCACAATGGCCGCCATGCTTCTGTCTTTTGACTCTCTTGGAAATGCTTGCAACCATCAATTTTAATTTTTGAAGTTGTAACACAGGGAGCCCGGCTTGGTGATGCTAAATCGGTAAAACGATCACGTTTCATATGTTGATGACATTACATAACAATCGTAACTCAATACCCCCATATACAAACGGTCACTATAGAACACCAGTGTTTGTAACGTGTAACTTAATACCGTGATAAATTCAAATTCAAATACGTAACGCACGCGTTAAGAGGCGTCTAACACTATTGCATTACAAGTTCTATTAGTAGTGACCGTTTGTATATGGGTGTATTGAATTACGATTATTACGTAAATTCATCAAGATCGTTTTACCGATTTAACATCACCAAGCCGGGCTCCCTGTGGTTGTAACGGGAAAAACGAAGTTGTGACATCACAACTGTGTTTACATACCCTCATGCAAACATGGCTATCAACCAATCACAGCGTGCGTGCTATTTAATTTATTTTATAAATAGGTATATATAAAGTCACGTACTTGCAACACAGAAATCCGAAGTAAATAACCAAAGAGAAGAGACGATAGCACAGGCGTTCATTTCCCTTTTTCTCTTGGATGCATTCTCGTACTTTGGCAACTATTCCACAAAGATAATGTCGACCGATTAACTTTCTTGGGATGGAGATTGAGGAATACGAACCTGGGACGAAATGGTGTACTCGGCGAAAGGATATTAGAGAAAAAACACTCCCCACGTGTAAGGTTTGTGATAAGCTTAAGTTTTACCTAACGGACGCAAATAGCCTAATATTCACCAAATTGTTTAACTTAACAAAACCTAATTTGCCAGACATATGGCTTTTAATTGGTATTAAAGTTTCGAATTGTTTTTAGCCACATACTTCGAACCATATGACGGTCAAGAAATGCAGTCAAAAGTTTCACGAGCGATTCCTCTAGATCATGATTTTCTATTTTAATGGCACGTATAAAAATAGTTCATAAAAAATCCCCTTCGTATTTGATTTTATGATCATTTCCTCATCGTCTGGACTTTGCTTTGCCACTGTCTTTATTACTACGCAAAATATTAAAGAAAAACACTCCCCACGTGTAAGGTTTGTGATAAGCTTAAGTTTTACCAAATGGACGCAAATAGCCTAATATTCATCAAATTGTTTAACTTAACAAAACCTAATTTGGCAGACATATGGCTTTTAATTGGTATTAAAGTTTCGAATTGTCTTCAGCCGCATACTTCGAACCATACATATGACGGTCAAGAAATGCAGTCAAAAGTTTCACTAAATAGTGATATTTAAAAAATAGAAAACAAAGGATTCTGTATGAAATAGTACTAATTAGTACTATTTACTGTTCGCGGTTTTAGTGCGTGCACTCTAACATTAAAAAATTTACTAAATTGTAGGAAAGCTTTATAAAAGTATTTCAGTGTTAAGCAGTTTAGAATATGAACACTCACTTTAGCTACCAGTGTAGCGTTAGGGACTGAAGCTGTTGGCTACAGTACCTATAGAGATTACGATCTTCATGGTTAGTGAGCGCGTATACAGTTTTTATTCACGAGTTGTGAAGAATCAAACGAACAAGCGAGTACAACTGTAAAACAGTACAAGCGAACTAACCATGATGTAATTTATTTATTTTATAAGTTCTGAGATATTACAAGTAAAGATTTTTTGAACTTGGAGTTGAGAGAAAAAATTTATTGAACCTCGAACGATAATTGGTTAACTGAAATAGAAATGTCTCTTTCTAATAGTGTGATAAACTTGTAAATATAAGTATACTTAGATC